GAGAGAGAGAGAGAGAGAGAGAGAGAGAGAGAGAGAGAGAGAGAGCATCTACTACACCACCAAACTTTTTATAGCGTGATGCAAAACAGACAATATGATAGATGCATGTGGATAAATATTAAAACAATCATAACGCATAGCATCTTCAAGTTGAAAACAATGGCAAATACAGTGTGAAATGCACATACCCATGTTAATGCTGTGCTTTAATGTTGCGGAGATCCAGTGGTGTGAGTTCAGTCAGTGACAGCCAAAGTGTGCGCGATCTCTCACACTCACGCGTCTTTATTGTCCGGAGCGGCGCGTCAGAGCGTCACGCCCACGCGCGCGTAAAGAGCTCACGGACATACAGTACATATTACTCACTCCTTCTTTGCATTTGCTTGATAGTATAATATTGTCTTATTACACTGAATATGACCTCACGTTTTTTAAATAATGTTATTTTGTATATTTAATCACACAATATTTATATTATTTATGCTAAATGAGTGGATGTGTTTTGTCATGTCTCCAAAAAGTCCCTTTTAGGTGTGTCTTCAGTTTTTCCTGTTTGTAATTGGAATGTTTTCTTGAGAATGTTATTAAATGGTAATTATTTTATAGGCCTTTATATCATATTTCCTCACTTTCCATCCTGTTATTTGTTGTTGTTGTTGTTGTTGTTGTTGTTAGCTAGTTAAAATCCCTTTAACTAACAAAATCCAGTCCTGTAATCATTCTGCAGGAAGTGACATAATTCTGGTAAATCAAACACCACCACAAACATCAGTAAATATTAAGAACTATGAAATCTTGAGATAAATCCAATGGCTAGACAGACAGACAGAGAGGAAACTACTACACAGTTCAGTCCTAAAGCATTTCTGTTGTGGTTTTTACAGGATGTTTTGCAATGAAGTTATTCTGATTTGCAATGTGTAGCCCAACGTTACTAGCATCCCTTTTCCAAAAATGACCTTAATCTGGTAAATCAAACACCACCACAAACATCAGTAAATATTAAGAACTATGAAATCTTGAGATAAATCCAATGGCTAGACAGACAGACAGAGAGGAAACTACTACACAGTTCAGTCCTAAAGCATTTCTGTTGTGGTTTTTACAGGATGTTTTGCAATGAAGTTATTCTGTTTTGCAATGTGTAGCCCAACTTTACCAGCATCCCTTTTCCAAAAATGACCTTAATTTTTTTTATCTACACTCTAAAAAATGGTGCTAAATAGCACTAAAGGTGGTTCATTGGCTCATACTCACAGGGAAACACCTACCTTTCAAGGAGACCTTTGTCAAATGGTGCAATGTAGAACCATAAGAGGAACCTCATTCTCCTCCTTAGATTTGTGGTATGTTATTCCACTCTCATATGTTTGCTATGAATGGGAATTGACTATAATGGCAAAAGCTATATTGAATCACTTTTATGCTTTTCTGAGGTCAAAAAGTCTTGTGTGGGGGCCCTGGAATATTTCCTTATAGGGGGGCCTTGGGGGCAAAAAGGTTGAGAACCACGTTATCTTCAGGAAATACACTGTATTTTAAAGTCATTTTTAAATCCTTTTCTCAACTAAACTAAGAGACTAAGAAAGAGTTAGAGAACCTTTAAAGAACTATACAGGGGCTTAATGGTTTTTTTTGTATGGCAGTGGTGCTATATAGCAGCTGAAGAAGCGCTGAAGAACCAGTTTTTACTGGTTAACATTTCCACATTCATTCAAAGTTTACAGAATAAGTTTGATTCTTTTTATAAATCAATTCATTTAAAATAATTCCACTGAGAATTAAATAATTTCTTGCAGACCAGAGACTTTATGACAACTCTTCAGTTGTTTATTTTATCAAAGCAATTTTATTAAAAGATTACACCACTGTTTGTGTTTTATCACCTGTGCAATAAGGCTAAGTAGAAACAGAAATACAAGTAAAAAACAAACAAAGGATTTTGTAGGTTTTTAACATTTAAAAGTTAGTTCCATTAACTAATGTTACATACTCACACTGAAATAAATAAATAAAATAAACTTTATTTTAGAGTTTCACAGGATTGATAGGTATAAAAGGTAAAAAGGATGGGCCTGATAACATAAAAGCATGACGCTATTACAGTATAAACATACATGATGGGCTATACTTCAGTTGACTTTCCTATGATGCTTGTCCCTTGAACCTGTAAAGATCAAAGAGAGTAAATTAAAATATAAATATGCAGAATATTCCAAATCTCAACACAACTGAAAAATAACTATAAAATAGCTTGAATGTGTCGTAAATGGTAATGCACAATGTAGAAATTTCATAAATACTATCAAAACAGATAAATCTGTATGCCGTACTGTGGTGCACATATGGTCCCTGGTTTGGCCTGGTGGGTTAGTGGGTTTCACGCTACATTCGTGGGTGTGGGCACACGCTTTTTTCACACCAATGACAGGCGCCTCAGATTGGGTGTGTTCATAGTCTCCACCAATCACAGATGAGCAGCTGTGACCAGAACTGCTAAAGCAACTAACACTTTCTCCTGAGGACACCGAACTCTCCACTGAAACACAGCACATTAAAAAATCCTATTAGCAACATATATTGCATATACTGTATATATACCTCAGTATATGCACCTGGGTGTTGAACTGCAGTGCATGTGTGAGAGGCTAAATAATAAGATGGTTTTAAAAAAGCAAATTATCAGAACTAATTATTAGATTTAGAAAAACATGACCTGATGAAACATTCAAAATAAGACCAGAAATATGTATTAAGAAATAAGGTACATTTTAAATTGCACTTTTATCGATCACAAATTTCAAATTTTGTGTAGACAACATCCAAAATAGGATGCATTGTGAAGAAGGACATACCCAGTGTACTCTGGTTTCCGCTCTCCTGGTCTAAATCATCTTCCTCCAGGATCCCTGAGGTCCCGTGGATGTACCGGACAACATCTCCTCCGCTAGGATTGATCAGATGACCCACAGGAGACGTGGATCCCCACCCAGAGGAGGACGAATGGCTTCCAGAGGATGACGTATAGCTGGCCGAGCCGACAGAATTCAGCCGGAGGACAGGAATCCCACCTACGATATCATATAGAGTTAAATAAGATCAATCTCTCAGGCTACCCAACGTTTAACCCTGACAGGTGCTTCACCTCGTCCTGTGGGAGAGCAGTTGACGGCTCGGTCATTGATGGCCATCTCACTGGGCTGGATATCCATGAAGGGTTTATGACCGATTCCCATGAACACCCTCTCCTGCATACGGATCTCTGCGTGGAGATCAGCAAACAAACAAGCAGGGGCTATTAATAATATATGTGACCCTGGACCACAAAACCAGTCAGAAGGGTAAATCTTTTGAAATTGAGATTTATACATAATCTGAAAGCTGAATAAATAAGCTAGTTAGGATAGGACAATATTTGGCTGAGATACAACTATTTGAAAATCTGGAATCTGAGGGTGCAAAAAAAATCTAAATATTGAGAAAATCACCTTTAAAGATGTCCAAATTAAGTTTTTAGCAATGCATATTACTAATCAAAAATTACGTTTTGATATATTTACGGTAGGAAATTTACAAAATATCTTCATGGAACATAATCTTTATTTAATATCCTAATGATTTTTGACATAAAAGAAAATTATTTTGACCCATACAATGTATTGTTGG